GGTGTGTCTGTGAGTGGCTGGGGATTGGGTACAGTGTCTTTGGAGGGTGGGACATGGTGTGTCTGTGAGTGGCTGGGGATTGGGCACAGTGTCTTTAGAGGGTGGGAGATGGTGTGTCTGTGAGTGGCTGGTGGTAGCGAAAGCATTCTTACATTGCATGTGTATTCTCTGATCATCATCTGTGTTGGGGAATCTAGCCACTGGCCCACAGAGCTAACCAGCTTTGGAGTGTGAGAGGTGGGGGAAAGAAGGGACAGTCTACTCCAGCTTTCTGTTTAATTTATTCAAGGGTGGGGGGGCCTGGAGAAACAATTCTCTGGAAATTTTCAAAGGAGGGTAGAGAATTTCTGTAGTGATTCCTTGAACAAAAGAAGGCAAGAGGAGACGAAGGCCAAGTCTGGACTCGTGATAGGGGAATCTGTGCAACTGGGAGATAGGCTTGGGAGTGGAGGGTGGCTGCAGCAGTTGGCTAGGCTAGCAGGTTTCCTCAGACCTGTTACAAGTTTGGGGGTTGGAATAAAGTGTCTTGCAGAGTAGGCTGCTGCCTCCTGGTGGCCAACCGCTGCTTTGCAGAGATCCTGCCAAGAGACTTCACTTGGCACTGTTGGAAGCAGCCTGAGATGAAGCTGGGTTGACTGATGCGATGACCTGCAGCCCCAGTCACCAACAGACTCTCCTTCCACAAAAGAGGTGCTGAAGCTCCTGAGGCACATGCTGAACTCTGACGTGGGACTCTAGAGTTCCCCAGCCAGGCTAAGGGAAGTGAGCAGAGAGGACAAGATGAAGAATGAAGAATGGGCACCTCCTTATATTATAGTGGTTTCCTGGGAAAAGCTTACCACCTTCTCAGAAGCAGGAGAACTGACCACACAGACCCCACAGGCAGAGGCTGGCAGTCTCTGGGCCCGTGCCATGGCCGCTCCTTGTGTCAAAGGACATGCTTCCAAGTGTATAGCCCACCTGCCTGGGGCACCTGAGCTGACGGTTTGACCATGTGCTTGATGTTCCCAACAACTGCCACGACCTGCAATGACCCATCCCGGAGTGCCTGTGAGGGGCCAGCTGCCTATTCTGCCAGTCTGCCTAGAGTGCTGGGGCAGGCTTGGCCCTGTGGACGAGGCTCAATCTCCCCCTGCCTGCCGAAGGAGAATGTGAAGCAGAGGGAAGGGAAGCTGGGATTATGAATGCCTCTGTGCCCAGCCTGCTCTTTGCTAATGCAGTAAGTGGGATCCACAAGGTGAATCATCCTATGACTGCTGACTTTTCCCACCACCACCTTCATGGTGTTCCCATCTGCGCGATCCCCTCCCAAACATCAGTCCTTGTCAGGATACCAAAGTAGCTCTTGGCCTCTCTGGTCTTGTTTCCAAGCTTATGAGCATAGTTGTCACCTTCCCCACCTCCCACTAAAAGTCCAGGACTCATTGTTGAGAGGGGAGCGTTTTATCTTTGGGCCCTTAGAAGACTGCTTTGTAGTTTGTAGGGCCTCAGAAATTTAAGGTGAAGATTGAACCGATCATCAAGGAGCTTACACCTGATGTGGGAATCACGTAAATTATTGCTAAACCAGAAAGGTAGACCAGCCTCTCCCAGCCACAACCAGGGCACTGAGGGAGGAGCCTGGAAGGACATTCCCATGGAACGTGATTCCAGGAAGCCGGAGCCTTGGTTTTGTTCATTCTATCCCCAGCCCCTAGAACTGTCCTGCCAAGGAGTGATAATGTTGGATGAATGAATGTACTCACGGAAGTGGGGATGGGTGGGTGGAGGCAGGAAGCAGATATTTGCTCTATGCAAAGGTTGGATCCACCAGTTTCTTCTGCGAGCCCAGACTGGGCTTCAGCTTCCTCAGCTATGCCTTGCTTGGTTCCCAAGTCTGTTGCGAAGCCACAGTGAGAAAAAGTCGCAAGACTAAAGGTAGTACAAATGCCAGAGGCTGATACTGCTGTGTTGCACCTCCCTAGTCTGTACAAATTCTCAGCCCCAGCTCTCTGTCCCCCAGCCTGGCCCTCTACTGCGGGCCACTGGGCTTGCCTCCGGTCCCCGAGCTTGGGCCAGGCTGTCATTGTAGTGCTCCTGCCAATCTAGATGCCCTGGGGTGTTGCTAAATCAACCTCGGCAACCGGATAGTTTGTTGGAGGCGGGAAGGTACGCCGTGGGTTCCCGCCCAGCCAGTGCTGGGGCCAGACGCACGCCCGTTGCCATGGAGACGGGGCGGGGCAGTCCTCCGCCCTCCGGGTCAGTCCTCCGCCCTCCGGGTCCCGCGCGCACGCGCCCACGGCCACGGCCACGTCCCGCCGCGCGAGAGGGCGGAGCGAGCGTGCACGGCGGGCGCGCGCAGGCTCGGCGACTGAGCCTTGAGCCGCCTGCGCGGTTCGGCGTCCGCAACTGGCGGCTGCTGAGGTGAGGGCCGGGCCAGAGGAGAGGCCTACCCGCCGGGGCGTAGGTCTGGGACCCCTGTCAGCTCTGGCGCGACCTCAGAGCTCTCTGTGTCCCCTCCGTGACCCCCGCGGCCCGGGCCGCTCTTTGCATCTCGTCTCGCCCACAGCTGTCCCCTGCCGGGTCCGAGGGCCTGGATGCGACCTTGGGGGCAGCCCCCACCCTTCCGGGCAGCCCACTGCTGCGGCCACCGGTGCGAGGTACGCCCCGAGGCCGTGGAGCTGGGGGAAGGAGGCGCGAGTCACGTTTTAACTCCGCCCCCGTTCCTCAAGGCCGCGCCCCGGAGCTCGGGCTGCAAACTTTAGCATCCCTTAAGTTACAGATGTGCGTGGGGCTCCGACAGGAGGTAGGCGAAGAGAAAGGCTCTGAGTAAATAGGAGAGGTCTGGGGTGAGCAGGGGCTGGAATCCGAGAGTGGGAGACGGCGGCCCCCCCACCCCTAGGGTCCCCCCACCCTCTGGAACAGAAGTTTAGCTCGTGACGGGCCCTTTAAGGGCCCGACCCTTTGCCGCCGCGCACGTGAGCGGCACCAGGAAGCCGGCTGGGGGCAGCCTTCCCTGACGCTCGCCCGCACCGGCTGCACGCGTCCATCCCGGGCCTCTGAGCGTAGGGAAACTGAGTCTCGAAAGGGTGCAGTCTGCCGGAGGTCAGCGGAAACGGCAGTTTCTGGGCGCCAGGTGTGGCTGGAGCCCTCCAGGAAGAGGGGCGTGACCACGGCTCTAGTGAAGAGCCCTGACATGGTAAAGCTAGGTGTGGCTTCAGATTTCCCCAAGGGGCTTGAGAATGGGACGAGGATGCTTTAGAGGCCCCGGTGGGCTTTCCCTCAAGAGGGTAGTCAGGGCACGATGCTCGGCTCAGTGGTTATTCCTGGGCAGGGGTGACTGTTCTTTCATCTCCCAGCACTGGAGCGCTTGGCCCCTGCCGCACTGGATGCCAGGAGTTACTAAAAGTGAGCCTGGCATTTCAGGTGAGCTCCCAGACCCTCTTCCTTTTCTCTTGAATATAGGGGAAATTCACGTTGCCCCTCCTGGTGCTGACCAAAACTCTGGGACCCACAGGTGCATTTTCCCCCCTTTTCTGAGCAGTTTGGGAAGTGAGAGGAAGAGAAAGGTGGATACTAAGTTTCCTTGAGGGGGCAGAAAGTGTTAAACTGGGATGGGAGATCAGGGTGAGGGCCTGTCATTCCCAAGGCAAGTGTAAGCCTAGAGGCTGGGAGTTTTCCAGCTTTAGGCTCAGAGATGTCCAACAAGGATTAAATGCTTGAGCCTTTCTGGAAGCCAGTCACCAGAGAAGTTAGAAAAAGTGGAAATGGGGGCCTGGAGTCAGACTGGGCTTGTGTTGCCTGCATTTTGGTCCATGTGGCTCTGTTTAATACCTGTGTGACCTTGGACAAGTCTCTTAACCTCTAACCACTTGTACCCTTAGCTGTACCTACCTCGTTGGATTGCTTTGAGGATTAATGAAGTAGCTGTGTTTCAACATTTAGACAGTTCCTGGCGTATAGTAAGTGTTCAGTGAAAGATTTCTCGTCATCAAAGAAAATAGGAATGAAATTAACTGGAGACAAGATGAGTAGAACAGGCAGAAAAGAGAGAGATACTGATGGGTAGGAGCACAAATGGGTAAGACTAGTGGGGAGCACCTTAATTTCCTGACACCAAAAGTTTAGAAATTTACTTTGCCTCTCTGTGAGCAAATACTTGTGCTTGTTGACTCCAAAGATAATTTTTTAGCGTAAAATCAACACCCAGCACCCACAGGGAAGAAATAATTGCACAGAGCTAAGTTTTCCACAAAGCTGCAGTATGGCCTTTTCAGCTTCAAAATCTTTTAAATGTTAAATATTACTTTTAAATAATATTTAAAAGTATTAAGTATACTTTTTAAAAGTATATTTAAACTTCAAATATACTTTATTTGGGTGGGAATGTTCCCCCAGTGGGCCGCATGCTTCCCTTTCTCTTTAAACAGTTTTCTCTGGGCTGTGATTTTTTTTTCCCCCTGGGCAACTAAGGTCGAGCACTCTGTGTAAGAGGGTTAGGCCTCTGGCCCCAAGCTGCCTGGAGACCTAGGCAGTCTACCTTGAATAGCTCACACACTGGCTTCTGTGTTACATGTTCCTGGGCCTGCTCTTGAACAGTTTCTGTTCCCCTTATGGGTAATTGTTACTTCCTGCTGTGCAACTCCCCTTTCAGCAGCCTTTTCCTCTTACTCCTCACTGTTTCTTCTATGGCTGGAAAATTGGGATGAAGCTTGTTAACACTGGTGGTTGAAGTCTGGGGAGCTTAGTATTGGACTTTGTTCTAGCTGCTCAGGCTGTTTTGCTCTGGTCTTTCTTCTGGTTATGGATGGGTGAGCTTGCTGGATAGCAAGGTCCTGGCAGGCCAAGTATACTTCGCAATGGAGAGTTTCTTATGAAATTCTCTTCCTGAGCCGGGCGCGGTGGCTCAAGCCTGTAATCCCAGCACTGTGGGAGGCCGAGGCGGGTGGATCACGAGGTCAAGAGATCAAGACCATCCTGGTCAACATGGTGAAACCCCGTCTCTACTAAAACTACAAAAAATTAGCTGGGCATGGTGGCGCGTGCCTGTAATCCCAGCTACTCAGGAGGCTGAGGCAGGAGAATTGCCTGAACCCAGGAGGCGGAGGTTGCGGTGAGCCGAGATCGCGCCATTGCACTCCAGCCCAGCCTGGGTAACAAGAGCGAAACTCCGTCTCAAAAAAAAAAAAAAAAAAAAAAAAAAAAAAAAAAAAAAGAAATTCTCTTCCTGAGGCACGTTTTCCCTCAGGAATTTTTTTTCCTAATGGTTTCCCTGTTTATTAATAAGTGTTGAGACCCTGGCATTTGCTGGTCCTTCCTCTGGCAGTAGTCCCTGAGGCTTGGGGAGGCTGGGCTGTTGGCATGGCTTAGCAGTGGTGAGGAAGAGGTAAAGTTAAGGAAAGGCAGGTTGGCGGGTGTCTGGCTTATCTGGGGGAGACTTGTCAGGGCCAGGAGTATGTCCTTGGCTAACTCACTCCTGTGCCCCTCTGTGATTCAGTTTCCCGAGGTGTGACCAGGGCTACCAGCTGACAGGTAGAGCTGCTCTGACGTCTTCACTGACAGTGATTAAGAAATGAAGAGGCTTGTGGCTTCAGTCATCCTTTGTAGCTCCCTTCTAGGTCACTCTATGTGTAAACACCTCTGGCCCCTCCCCTTTCTGGGTCAGAGCACTCAAGGCAGGGCTGAGGAGGTTGGGCCAGAACTGGTTGGTGGGCAGGTGGGCACATTGTCAGAGCAGGCTACCAGCCTCCTCTCCCTTCTTTCTCCTTTGCAGTTGCCTTGGGGTGCAGTGTGGGGGGTCCAGAGCCATGTCGGACCTGCTACTACTGGGCCTGATTGGGGGCCTGACTCTCTTACTGCTGCTGACGCTGCTGGCCTTTGCCGGGTACTCAGGTCTGCTGGCTGGGGTGGCAGTGAGTGCTGGCTCACCCCCCATCCTCAACATCACTGTGGCCTACAAGTTCCACATGGGGCCCTATGGTGAGACTGGGCGGCTTTTCACCGAGAGCTGCAGCATCTCCCCCAAGCTTCGCTCCATCGCTGTCTACTATGACAACCCCCACATGGTAAGGAGCCTCCATGGGGTTCTGTCCCATGGATGGACCTGGTGGGCCAGGGCTTCTTTGGGGAGGGTAGTTTTGGTTGCGGAGGAAAGGGTGGGAAAATCTTTGAGCAGGCCCTGCAGACCCCTCCTCCGTGAGCTTGAAGCGCCTTCCAGATTTAGCCTGGACTTCTCCTCTGGGCATCCATTTTTGGGCTTTCTACTTGCCTGCCTCTGGTTCCCGTGCCCATGGCTACTCGTGGATTTCCAAATGCAGTGAGCTATACCACCTTGGGTCCCTAGTTTCTGCCAGGACTTTGGTCCCCTGCTGCCTCTTCTTGTCATCCCTCCTTCCATCTCCATTTGGGGCCAGTGCTCTAAGGCCCAGCCATTCAGATTCTGCCCACTCTGTGGGGTTACATCTTGCTGTTTCTGTACTTTCCATCCCTCAACTCTCTTGCCATAGTTGTAGACCCTTGAGGGTCGAGCGGGCAGCCCCTTGGCATGAGAGGGGCTTGGAATCGTTCCTCTTCAGCCATTCTGATGCCCCCCAACCCAGTGATACGGCATTTCCTTAGACCTCAAGCTGCCTAGTTGGGAGAGGGCGTGGGGGGCTAGTAGAGCCAGATGAACTACTTAGAATGTTCAGAATGCTCAAGTCAAAGACTAATCCAGCATCACTAGCATGCTGTGGGTGTCTGGCTGTTCTTACAACCTATGGTGAGTCAGAGCTTGCCAATGTAGCCTCCTGCTATGTTATGGGGTTGTGCTGCCCACAGCTGGATGGGCTGGCAGTTCTGTTAAGGGTTCTTCAGCCTCTAATACTGAGCCATGCCAGGCCAAGCATTTGAAATCCCCAGTTCTGATTTCCTTGCCTGGAGAGCTCAAGTGGATAAGCCCTGCAGCCTACCCAGTGTCTGCTGACTGGGCTCACTGGGCCACTAGTTGAAACAGGGTGTGCTGGTTCCCTCTCTGTGCCAGGTTCTGCTCCACACCTACACTCTGGAGATGAATCACACCTGGCTCTGCCCTCAGGAAGCTCTGTGTGGCTGACACATCAGCCCCACACAAGTGATTCTCCAACAAGACAATGTGCTTGATGTCCACAGAACTTTGAGCTGTGGGTTCAGGGAGGCTGTCATGAGTCTGCTGGGGAGGCCCAGAGAAGGGGTAGATTTCAGCTGGGCCTTCTCACATAAGTAGAGTTTTGCTCTGTTGGGATGGGTTACTTGGCTAAGAAAACTGCAACAGCAAGAGCCTGGAGACATGGGATGACTGGAGAATTGTGGCTAATGGACATGTGGTGGGTGGAGAAAGACAAAGGGTTTGCCTAGCCAGGTGGTGGGAAGGTACAGCAGGTTGGGAAGAAGGGTGTGGCACAATTTGCTACCTTTGTTTTAGGAAGTTAGCTGAAGGGCAGGTGGAGGGGGGAAGGAGATAAGGCAGGAGGCCATAGAAGAGGCCCAGGTGAGAGGTGCCATGGGTTGGTTGAGGGATGAGTCGACATTGTTTGAGGTTTTGCAGTCACATGGCCAGGAGGTGGTACTAATGGAAGGTGGGAGCACATAAGCCTGAGTGGGATGGGATAGACAGTGGGCTATGGGAGCTCCTAGATCAGATGTGTGACCCTCACCCCTGCAAGGGCTCTGTTGTGTAAGCCCCTGCCTCTCTACTTTCCCCTGCCCCTCCTTCCCACCTTGCCTTCTGCAAGGCCCCAGTGGGAAGTAGGAGAGTCCTTGCAGCTGCCTCTCTCCTCATTGGCGTGTCTGCCTGTTCTGGAATCAACATGTTGCCTCTTGGGTTGAAGGTGCTAATTCCCGGATGGGAAAGAGCTAAGGCAGCAGGGTACCTTGGGGTCAGTGCTGGAGGCTGGTCTATGGAAGAGTGAGATGAAAGAACACTGGTATGGGATATTCTGGCATGGCCACTGCCTCCTGTAGCTTTCCCAGAGATGTGTGGACCCCATCGGGTGGGCCCTGGGGCTCCACGTTTGGCTGGGCATAGTCTGACTTGGGTGCTCGTCTGGGGACTGTGGCCTGAGAACACAGCTTTGAGGCTAGCAGGCCTGAGTTCTGATTCTGTCCCATCACTGTTCTCCTGCATGATCTTAGGCATATCACATAATCTTTCTGAGCCTCTATTTCCCTGTCTGCAGAGTAATGATAAAATACTTGCTTCTTAGTTAGACTGAGAAGGGATAAGGGATACAGGTGAGGCATTTACCCCAGCACTTAGCCCTCAACAGATGCTTAGCAACAACAAAGATGGGTGGGAAAACCATTTGTGCTAACATGTACTGAGAGGTCAGACTGAGCAAACCTAGACCCTTGGCCTGGCTGTGGACATTTGGCTGACACAGAGGATGAGTGAACAGGTCAAAGTGATCCTTCTGATCCTGCCTCTCCCAGTCCTGGGTCAGTCCAGAAGGCACCTGTGTCCCCATTTAGAGCTAGGTTACACTCTGGCACCTGGGATGGCTCAGGGACACTTGGGTCCCCATCTACTCAGGGGACTGGTCAGTACATTCTGTGCCTGACAGAGAGTGTAACAGATTCAGGGAACCATGGACCCCCAGGCTTCAGGTGCTCGTGGCTATCACAGACTGTCTGGTCCAGAAGGACCTGAAGCCTCCTGGTCCTCACTCCATATTATGGAGGGGAAAACAGGTTCAGATAGTAGGGGTAAGGTACTGATCTCATACTTTGTTGTTTTCATTTAACAAGTATTTGAGCACCTACTCTGTACCAGGCTCTGTGTTGGGCACTGGGGTACCATGGAGGCCAGAACCTCCCAGTGTGTGGGTATTAGACAGAAGCCTAGAGGAAAGGCCCCATCCTGGTCCTGGAGTGGGCTGAGAATCCAAGCTTTTTGCCCCTTTGGCTTCCTCCACCAGCAGTATGCAGCCTGGGGCATGCTCTGGTTCTCAGAGAAAGAGAATAGAGGCAGACCTGTTGAATGTCCCTCCCTCAGTCCTCCTTCCCCAGCCCAGAGCAACAGGAGCCAGAATCTGCTTCTCTGTGAGTGTGGGGAGACAGTGAGGATTTGTCAGGCTCTGTGAGTGGGGTGGTGAGTTATCAGGTGAGAGGTGCCACGAAGCTTTAGATGCTGCCTGCCCCCATGAGGTGTGATGGACAGCTCCCTAGCCATGCCTCTTCCTGTCCTCAGCTGGGCAGAGAGGAGGCTGGTTCTACCTAGCTGGGTGTGGACCCAGGAAGTAGCACAAGAGAGGGTACCACTAAGGTGGGATAGTGGCAGTTGCTGTGGACCTGTTCATAGTAGATGCTGCTAGAGCTGTTAGCCCTGTGCTCTGGAGTCCTGTATGGGAAGAGGTAGCAGGTCAGGATGAGTGGTTCCTGTGAGGGAGGAGAAAGGATTTCATTCTCCATCCCTGAAGGCCTTGGCATAGTTGGGGATGGGAAGGTGGGGAAGGAGTCTGTTGGAAACTGGACAGACCCTGACAGGGGCTCATGGGTGCCCTCACCTGCCTCAGAGCCCAGCATTCATGGAGTGTGGGCCATTCCTCTTCAAGGTATGCAAGGGAGATGGGATGAGTTCAGAGATAAGGGTCAGGTGTAGGTGGATATCAGTCACAGATCTGCTCCCCTACACACAGTGGTCCATACTGCCCTTGCATGGCTGGGGAAGGGTCTTGGCTAGAAAAACTGCTCTGCCCTCAGTCCTGCTTCTGGGGTGGGTGCTGGGGGCTTGGAAAGTAACTTCAGGCTCCCTTTTTGGGCTTGGTCCCTCTGAAAGCCTTCAGTGTTGGAGGGAAAGGGAGGAGCTGAGATGACCCTGAGTGCCTCACTTGATCCTGCCAGCTCTGGCCTGTGGACAGTTCCTAGTGGCTGGGCTGCTGTCACTGTGCCTGTGGACCTATCCTGTCTGCCAGGCTGGCCCTCTACCTACTGCCCCACCCTGTGCCGCCACCACCTGCGCTGCTGTGCTTGGAGCTTAAGCAGCCTGCCTGCTTGCTTGTGTGGAGAGCCTGGCTGAGGCAAGAGGGGTATGACAGCCTGTTCAATTTACCTGGCCCAAGTGGTTCTGTATTTGCTGCTTACATCTGGCACCTAGGAGGTGGTGTTTGCTCCAGGCATGGAGTGGGTTGGGGAACTGGTGGTACTTGGTTCTGACTTTAGTAAGCTAGACTGCCATTGAAGCCCCCTTTCTCTTAGTCCAATGAGAACCAATGCCCAGGCCTACCAGGTCTGCAAGAGCTGAACTGGAAAGAGTTCTGTTGTAGGCCTGTGTCATATTCCCTCTTCCCTCAGTGTGTGTGGAGATGGGGCTCCCTGCCCTCCTTGGAGGCACTTAGGGAAGGAGTGAGGGAGTAGGATTTCCCAGGACTGACCTCCCCAACAAGGGCAACTGGAATGTGGGCTGGGATGTTTCCTGAGGGCCCGGGCCACCCCCTATCCCAGTTACTCCATAGTTATTTTCTGCCAGGTGGAGTCTAGGCATTTGCTGTGTAGTAGGTTAACTGTATGGGACAGGTCTGGAAGCACCAACTCCTCTCTGCCCACTAGAACTGTCCTTGAGGTGAGGTGAGATGAGGTGTGAGAGGAGGGGGCTTTGGATTTGCCCTTCTGGGGTTGAATCAGGGCTCCACTGCTAACCACTTTGTGACTTTAGGTGAGTCACTTGGCCTGTCTGAGTCTGTCTCCTCATCTGTCACATGAGTATAAAAGAATCTCCTCATCTGTCACATGAGTATAAAACCTCAGGGTTTTTGTTTTGTGGGGGCTAAATAATAAGGATGTGGCCCAATACCCAGCCCTTAATAGGTGGGTGTGACACTTGACATCCAGTCCCTCCTGAGAACCTCATGCCACTGGGACTTTGTACTTTTAGGGACCCTGCCTGCCTCTGGTCTAGTCCCAGCCTCTTGCAGGTTGTTTGGGCCATGTGAAAAGGCACAGTGCAGGGAAAAGCCATTGTGCAGCCCATTCCTCACCAGGACCAATTTCTCGGACTCCTGGATGCCTCTGAGTTGTGTTGCGCAGCTCTGAAGCTGGTCTGCTTGGGTTTGAATCCTGACTTCAGCACTGCCTTGCTTTGTAACCTTGGCTGAGTATCTTGGTTGTTTGGGCCTCAGGAACAGGGTTGAAAACAGTACCAACCACAGAGGGCCGTTTGCATTTAGTGAGCCTATGCTTGGAAGGCAGCGACTAAGGAAAGTGGTGAGTGCCTGGTCAGATATCAGCTGTTGTTAGGATTCTGTTTGAGGGTGTAGGGATATAGAGGAAGGTTCCTGAAAGGTTTCTAAGTAAACTCACTTTTGAGGACTGGTATCTTGTTGACTCCTCTCTTTCCTCCTGAGCCTGAAGAATGGGTCCTGTCCTCTGGCCTGGCTATCTGCATCAGCTCATGTCCTGACTGCTACCTGTCTCTGTGTGCCTTTGGGCATAAGCTGTCCCGGGAAGTTGGGGTTGGTGTGTTGACCTGTGGCACCCAGGAGGGCAAACGAGGTCCCGTATCAACCCTCTAGTCATGGGCCAGTGCAGCTGCTCTATTCCCTTGGGAGTACCAATGCAAATGAAGGACCCTGCCTCTACTTTCCCCCATATGTTGGGTAGCCCTGGGTCAGTGGGCTGGTGTGGGAGGAGTAAGGGCAGCCCTCTGTGCCTGGGTTTGAGAGATGGTGCCGCTGTCCCTGTCAGGTTGTGTAGGTTGTGGGCCTGGGGTTGGCTGTTTCCATTAATCCTGAACCCAGTGACTACATTTGGTGGGCCAACTGATACCATTTCTCTTTCCTGCATCCTGGAAGATAATCAGTCTTGTCCAGTTCCCAGACTCAGCAAGGTCTTGGCTCAGCAGCGGCCCTAAGGTGGCTGTCTTCATGATAGCCTCACACAACAGGGTCAGCAGGGCACTGTGACACCGCTCAGGATGAGGCAGTGGGGCCAGCTTTAGGACTAGCCCATACTTGGAAGCTTCGGGTTCCAAGCAGATGGCCCTCTTCTCCCAATGATGGGACTCTGGAGGCTTCTCAGCCCAGAGGAAATGCTCTGGGGCCTGGCATGCCTCAAGAGTACCAGTTTTCCTGGTACTCTTGCTTTGAGGACAGATCCTGAATGGGCTTGTCTTTACTCCGAGTAGTGGTGGGTCTGGCCACTGCCCTGTTTCCGGGGTGTGATTCCTTGTAGGTGCTAGTTCTAGTCCAATTTTTATTCTAGGCAGAGGTACCCAGAGAAATAGCTGTTATGAGGAGGAAGAGGAGCAGGCAGGTAGAGCTGGGAGGCCCAGGCTATGTCCTAGGGTTAGGCCCAAATAAAGATGTTGCATTGAGCCAAGATTGATGGGGTCTCTTGCTCATCAGGACATCCCAACCTTCTGATCCCTTGACAACCTTAGTAGGCCTTTCCCCTGAAGGTGGGTCTGGGCTTTACTGGGAGGCCGGGAAAGCCTTCCTCTGCTACTGGACCAGCCTTGCCACTCACTGGGTTATTTCAGAGTCTGTGCCATCTCCCCCTTGTTGGTGCCTTGTTAAGCTGCTTCCCATCTTCAACTTTACATGGGGTCGCTTAATGGGTAGTAGGCTTGCTGAGGGACCTTCTAGCCTGCCCCTTAGGCCAGGGCAGGGGGAGGGAGTAGGAAATGTTCTTACTTGTGGAATTAGGGAGTTGCTCAGCCAGGAAAGGAGACACTGTGCCCCACACACCTCCTGGATCCTGGAAGCCCTGTCTCCTTAGCTTCCTTCTTCCACTGTGACAAGAGCTCTTCCTTTTCTCCAGGTGGAAGGAGAGGAAGCTTGTTATGGTGCAGGGCTTGTGTGTGCATGCAGGTACTATCACTGAGCATGCCCCAAGTGTGCGCAGGATCCTGGACCTTTTGCCTAGAGGCGGGGAGAGATGGGGAGGCCGTCAATTACAGTGCTGCACAAGATGCTCCCTGGTAGGTACTTGTGATTAGAGAGGAGATGCTGCTTGGTGGAGAGCAGCAGAAAGCTTTGAAGGGAAAAGTTGAACTGAGTCTGGCAGCATGGGCAGGAGTTTCGCAGGCAGAAGGGACTCTGGAATAGGGTGAAGGACATTTCAGGCAGAGGAAGTAGCTTACGCAAAGGCAGGAAGCATGGGAGGACGTGGCATGTTTGGGGAGCTGCAAATAGTTTCCTGTGGGTGTGTGTAGGGGTGTGGTGGGTGAGGAGGCTGGCAAGGCGGGCTGGGCCAGAGCCTGGATTTGTCCCTCCCTCTGCCATGCAGATACTCAGTAGGTGCCTGCCCATCTGGGTTCTGGCCCCTGCCGAGGCCTGAGGCTGCAGAAAGGGAGTGCAAGGTGAGTGTGTGGGCAGATTTATGCAGTATTATGTGGGCCACTCTAAAAGAGCCTTGCCTACTGCACTTGTGAATTTAGTTTCATCCTAGAGGTAAATTGGGAGCCATTGAGAGGTTCTAAGCAATGTGACCACATGTGTTCTGGTGCCTTTTGGTGACTGAAGAGGATGTTGAGCTGCGAGTCCCATGAGGGTTGCTGAAGTGTTCCCAGGAAAGACTCTAGGACTCAAACCCAGGCAAGCCAGGGGTAGAAAGGAAGAGATCAAGTGACTGTCCACCTCTTTCTCCATGTGACTTATATAGATGTTTCTTTTGCACAGCACAGGTTGCTAGGGTCAGGGACATGACGATAGGCTTTGTGGCAGGCACTGTCCCTTGGCTCGTCAGCAGGAGGTCCACCAGAGAACTTCCTGCCTATCTGGTCAAGTCTTGGTGTGTGAAGTAGTGCATTTCCACCATCTAGAGACAAGAGGTGGTATTGCAGTGTTCTCCTGCGCCTCTGGGTGAGGTGGGAGGAGTTTCAGGCCAAGAGAAGTGACTGTGTGCAAGGTAGACTTGTGGAGGGCAAGAGAGTTTACAGCAAAATATTGGTGGATAAGAGAGTGCCACCGAGCCACTCTGAAAGGCTCTCCAAGAGGGCATTTGAACCTGAAGGACAGACAGGGAGGAGCTGCACATTCAGAGGTTTGGTTGGTTTGGCATTCTAGGCCACGGAAAGCTGTTTGTACTGTGTTATAGCTACTAATAACCAACAATTATGGAGCACTTGCTGAATGCTGGACCTGCGCTAAGCTCTCATGAAGTTTCTTGTTTAATATGACAGTTCTGTAACTAGATATTAAGGAACTGGGTTTCCTAGAACGCAAGGGACTTGTCTAGAATCACACGACTCAGATTCACCCCTGGCCTGCCTCTCTCAAGCTGTGTTTCTGACCACTACACCCTGTTGCCTGCTACTAAAGCTCTGAACCAGTTTTGGATGCCATAGGATTCAAGGGGGCCGCAAGGGGACCAGAGCTGCAGACAGCTGAAGGTGATCGTTAGGGTCTGCTTAGAGGTAAGAGCCTGGATTAGGTGCCAAAGTCCCAGGCAAATTGTGATGAAAAGGAAGGGCTGGGTTGGCCTGAGTAGAGGAGGCCATTCAGGGCCAAGAAACCCCCAGGGGATTTTGGAGAGGGCTTGGAAAGGGCTGTAATGGGAGGTAGAGGTGAGAACAGGTAATAATGATTTCACAGTGCTGAAAAGGAGGGCTGGAGAGAGGAGTAAGTGGAGGTAAAGGGAGTAGCCTGTTTAAATTTAGGGGTCATCCCTGTGAACATGAACTGCTGGCAAAAATTATTTTTAAAAGAAAAAAATAATAAAGTTAGGAGTCAGTAGGCCCTCAATAGGGGGAGAAAGGAGCCTTTAGAGTTGAGTGACACCGGATTGAGGGTACAAGGTCTGTGCTGAATCTCTTTGATTCAAGATCATATGCCTCTGAGGGCCCAGCCTGAAGGCTGCTGTAGACTTAGGCACTTGGAAAGCTGACATGGGAAACAGGTAGCAGTAGGTGAGATAAAGTGAGGCCCCCTGACGCCAGGAGGAGAAATGATACTGGGTCTTGCAGCCTTGTGTCAGTCCTAGGAAGTGTTGGAGGCTCACACAGGAGCCTTACCTGGCTAAGTTTTCTGGGAGCCAGAGGGAAGTTTGGCAGGGAGTGGGGCAGAATGGGAAACGCAGGCACTAGCAACCTACAGAGACTTGGAGGGGAACCAGTGGTTCTTGGCTGTTGGCCAGGAAGGGACTTGGGAAGTGGGATAGGTCCCTTGATGGGCCATGGATTGGAGAAGAAGTCTAGAGGCTCTGGTGATGGTAGCTGGCCCTCCCAGAGGGATGGGGAGAATGATCTCTTCACAGAATCTCATCAGCAACACAAAGGTCAGTGATCCTGATTCGATGTCCTGACAGGTGCTTCCTGCATCCCCTCCACAGCCACTTGCCAGATCCTGACCCTGCAAGCATGTCTGTAAACACACACACACATGTTCATGCTTTCCTAGGGCATGACCTTAGAAGGCCCTGAGCTCTTTATTCCCACCCCTCAGTTTTGCTCCCTTGCCTGCCATAATTTCTCTGTTTGTGAAGCCTGTTCTTCTTCAGGAGATAGGAGGGAAATGAGCTAATAGGGATGTGCTGGAGCTAGGCTGCAGGATCAGCCACTGTACAGTCCTGCTGGTGGCCCTGGGGAGTGGGGGCTGACACAGGGTCTCATCAGGAGGTGGAAGGGCCCCCTCAGTGGAGCCATGTGGAGGGTGATGGTTCAGAGGTCTTCTCTGTCCTTTCCTCTCCTGGCCTCCTGGAGGGCAGAGACCAAGTCTAACCCCTCACTATGATCCCTGGGTTTCCACAGAGCATGGCATGTTGTTGAAGGAATGGATGAGAGTCCTGCAGTACGATGCCACAGACAGGGGCCATAGGTGGGTTCTAGTAGGAAAATAGCTAGCTCTGTCCTGGTATCTGGGGCTGCATGGCTTGTCAGAGCTGGTGGTTCTTTGAGGCCTATCTGGCACAGGCCCAGAAGGAAGGAGGTATGAGGGCCTCCTTCCTTCGCCTAACTCTCACACCCATGCTTTGCTTCCCCAGGTGCCTCCTGATAAGTGCCGTTGTGCTGTGGGCAGCATCCTGAGTGAAGGTGAGGAATCACCCTCCCCTGAGCTCATCGATCTCTACCAGAAATTTGGTTTCAAGGTGTTCTCCTTTCCGGCACCCAGCCATGTGGTGACAGCCACCTTCCCCTACACTACCATCCTGTCCATCTGGCTGGCTACCCGCCGTGTCCATCCTGCCTTGGACACCTACATCAAGGTGAGGTATAGGCCTGGGGTGTGTGTTTTGGGGGACAGCCAGGCCCCTTGGATGGAGCTGAGGAGGACTGCCTAGAATGGGAGAAAGAGGTGGTTTTGGAAGAACAGCACCCTGGGCCCCATGGAACAGGTACCTATGGAGATAGGAAGACTGGCAGAGGTTGTTGGCATCTCTTTCAGATGCCCAAGTTATGTGGGAGTCAGAGCATCTCCCAAGAGCATGGAGAGCTTGTTCATAAACCTGGTCTGGTCAGTTTGGTTCTGGCTTTGACCAAAGACATCCTTAGTGCTTATACCACACTCCTGGCTCAGATGGATGGACAGGCCACTTTATTCTCATCCTGCTACAGGCCTGCAAAGCAAGGACCTGAGGCTCCCAGTGTCTGGGCAGGTCCCAGGTAATCACGTGTTGCCCGTGGCCCTGGCTCTGTATGGGGTTATACACCTGCTCCCTGAGCCCAGGGCTGGGGCAGCAGTGGCAGGCACTGTCTTCTTTACTTCCTGACTTGGTCACTGGCAATGCTGGCAGCCCAAACTTCCTAGAGGAAGGAGAGCTAGCCACCAGGTCATCTGAGAGGGGTTTCTGTGTCTACAGAGATATTTTAAAACTTGCCCTGGCCTGGGTGCCGTGGCTCATGCCTATAATCCCAGCACTTTGGAAGGCTGAAGTGGGCTGATCATCTGAGCTCAGGAGTTCGAGACCACCATGGGCAACATATTGAAACCCCAAAAATACAAAAAATTAGCCGGGTGTGGTGGCACTTACCTGTAGTTCCAGCTACTCAGGAGGCTGAGGCACAAGAATCACCTGAGCCCTGGAGGTGGAGGTTGCAGTGAGCCAAGATCATGCCACTGCACTCCAGCTTGGGCTACAGAGTGAGACCCCATCTAAAACAAACAAACAACAACAACAAAAAAACTTGCCCTATTACACATCTCTCCTCTAAACGTTTTGTAAACTTGGATACTAGGAAAATGGCCCCAGTTTGGACTTGGAAATGATTGTTCATTCATTTAACTTATATTTATTGTCTGTGTGCCAGGTGCTATAATGGGCATGATGTGAATGAAATGTCATCGGTCCATGAAACAGACATTCACAGTGAGGTGGTAACGATAGGTAATAAATGTCAGACAAAAATGGAACATGTGCCAGAGAAGGAGAGGGTAAGAAAAGTCAGGGAACCGGCGTGGACAGAATTGTCAGTGATAGCCTCTCAGAGGAGATAACCTCAAGGCAGAGTCCTAAAAGAGCCTTTGGAGAGAAAATAAGAACATTCTAGGCAGAGCTTTGGTCTAAATGCAGCAGGAAGTCACTGCAGTGTTCCAACCAGGAAAATAACGCAGTTGGAGCCACATCTGTACAAGATGGGCTGTCCCATCTCTGGGCAGGGTAGGACTGAACCACAGATCTGGGGCCAGGTGGAGGTGCTTAGGAGGCTGTCATGAATCTCAGTGTGAGTGGTGGCAGCTTGGGCAGGCCCAGTGGCTATAGAGATGTGGACAGGGATGGAGATTTACAATCACTTTTGGGATAGAACTGATGGACTTTGGGTGGATTGGCTGTTGGGGAAGGAGAGGCAGTGAGGGAATCATAGAGGGCTCTGCTTCCCTCTGGCCTGGGCAGGTGGGTAAGCATGTAGTGATGTATTTCACTGATGTGGGAAACTGAGGGAGGCCCTGGTTTTAGGGGGAAGGTAGCTTTTTGGGCTATGTCAGGGGAGCTACCTGAGAGACATTTGAGTTGGGGGGTGTGGAGTCAACAATGGTATGTGTGGTCTAGGGTTCAGAAAAGGCTAGGCTGGTGGATATATTTAAGGACATCAGCTAGTTGGCACTATTTGACCTGGGAGGTTGCCCTGTGCCTCTCAGCTTCTGTGGGGCCAGGTAGGCAATGGACAACCTGTGGCAGCAAGGGCTGCACAGAGCACGTGGCCAGTGTGGCTGGGGTCAGGGAACAGGACAAGAGAGTTAGTGGGAGTGGGAGCTTGGTACACTTGGAGGACCCTTGCAACTTTGTTCACCAGAGCAGGATGGGGAAAGGGACAGGGCATTGATGATGGAAATGAGAGCTCAGACGTCCCTGGAGTCTGGTGTTGGGGCTGAGAAATGAATAAATGAGGCCCTGGGTCACCAGCTGTGGCCTTGGTGGTCAAGGATAGGTTTGAACAATCAGGAGTGAGAAGACCTGGAAAGGGGAGGGCTGTCATGGTGGTAGGGCAGGGGCACAGGGAGGATAGAGGGGAGTTTTCTTTGTGAGCTGGAGGGTGGTGGCCAGAAGGGGTGCTGGGCAGGATGTGCTTGCCTGGCTGCGGTTGGATTGGAGGTGGGGGCAGGTTGGCTGGCAGTGAGGGCAGGAAGGAAGATACGAGTGCCTAGGCCTGCTTAGCGTGCCACCTCTGGGGAGTCCTTTTTACCTAAGGAAGGGCTCTCCAGTCTTGTCTGTGCCATCCTCAACCTCATGGGCCCATCTGGAGGGGCACCCCTGGGAAGAGATTTCTTGGATTTCAGACCTCAGAACAGGGCGTGTGGCATGTGGTGTGGTGGTGAGCAACTCAGCCACCAAAGCCTTTTCCTGGCTTCAGGGGTTTATTTTTAGACACCTTTGTCCAAATTTCCCGGCCCCTGACAGCTTCACAAGTTGCCTGGTTTTGACGTCACCTCTTTGATGAAGCCCTTCCTCTCTTCTCCCCCTCCCATGGGAGCCTGTCGGCTGTGCTCCTGGAGTGGGGGTTGAGACAAGGAAGCCAGGGATATGGGGGAGAGCAAGGGGCTTCTCCCAGAGACATCTGTGAGGCATGCTTCTGTGGGCTTGGCCATCAGCGGAGAGAGTAAGAGAGAGGCCGGTTGCCCACAGAGGAGGCATGGCACAAGGTCCTGGGCTTGTTTTGGCAGCAGGGTGTGGGGGTTTGCCTCTGCCCCTGTGTTTAGCTTGACCTTGCGTCTTGGGGAGCAAATCCAGGGGAGAGATGAGGAAGGGGCTATCTCAGTTTGCCGGTCACAGCCTGCAGTGGACAGAGGTGGCCCTGTGCCTCTCTCAGCCCAGGAGACAGCCGGGAGAGAGTATAAGGCTCCCTTCATCCCTGCCGTTATCTCCACTGCCCTGGGGTCAGAGAAAGGAGATTACTAATGAGACTGGGTGCTTCTGACTCTTGCAGCGCTGACAGCTGACTGCCTTTAACTGTGTGTGCATGCTTGTGTGTACACCCTTCCTTTTTTCTCTGGATCTGGGACTGCTGTGAAGATTCTTCAAATGGAATGACAACAGCCGTCAGCTTTCTGTTTTGGCAGGGGTGAGGGAGGCCAGGAGCCCTGCTGCCAGGAGTTGTTGGGGGAGGACTTGGCAGCCTCACCAGCCTCCCCAGAGGCTGGGTGAGGGGCAGAGGTGTATGGATCTTAGCTTTGGGTTTGGGAGGTAGAGAGCAGCTGCTGTCCTCGTAGTTGCAGATGTCCCTGAGCCTGGGACAAGATTAGTCATATGGGACAGAGGGACCTAAAGTTCACTGCAAGAGGCCCAAGGAGAGCACTTGTCAGGACTCTCAGGATTCTGGAAAGGATGGCTGATCTCAGCTTTCCTGGTTTGCATGGCAGCCTCTGGCTCTCTGGCCAGCCTTCCTCAGCTTGGCAGCCTGGCAAACTACTATAGGGGCTGGAACTCTGCTTTTCTCCATATAAACTGTTCAGAGCCCCCAGGCTGAACACTCATTCCCCAGGAATCCATGGGTACTGTGTGACCATCACTCCATATGGAAGATGCCTCAGCTTTGTCAGGGTGCTCCACTGGAGTCCAAGGAGGTGGCCTCTAGTAGAGGAGGAGACCACTCGCCAAGTCTCAGGAAGGAGACTGTGAGGTATGCTTGTGTGGGCTTGGCCATCATCGGGGAGAGTGGGGGTGTCTTCTGGCAGCTGCAGGATGGAATAGAGCTTGCTTGAAATTGCAAACCTGCAGAAGAGAGATGGGGCCCAGATGTGAGCCCAGAGCAATGGGCAGAGGCCCCCAAATTCACCATAGTCATAATGAGTGTCCAGGGAAGGCTTTTGACACATGGAGCAGACCAGGACTGAGGGATGGGCCTGGGAATTCCATGTGTGGGATTGTGTGTGTAAGGTCCCTAGTGCAGTTTGCTCATATCTGTCTGTCGCACTTGGCAAGGAAGGCCATTGAGAGTGTTAGACTTGTCCAGCTAAGCCCCCATGCCTGTCTTCTCTCAGACCTGTCCAGAATCTTTTTCATAAGTGCCCTTCTCCATGGTCTCTGATTTCAGAGAGTTTTAGGGGAGGTTCTTTGTAAAATGGTTTGAGCTTCTTCTCCCAAGTTTAGGGTGATACAGGGCACTGTTCAAGTGGTGACTTGCTGGGGAGTACAGGTAGGCCCTGGAGTTCAGACATTAGCCCATCTTCCTCCATCAAATTGGAGTATAGCATGTGGGGAAGGGTCACTGAGGGATGTAGTGAGCCTGTGAGGGGAACCTTGGTGGCCGAATTCTGGGACAGCTGGGTTGACTGGGACTGTCTTACCAGGGGCTTAAAGGGGACAAGGCTGGGTGTGGTGGCTCATGCCTATAATCCCAACACTTTGGGAGGCTGAGGCAGGAGGATCACTTGAGCCCAGGAGTTCAAGACCAGCCTGGGCAATGTAAGTGAGACCCTGCCTCTAAAAATAAAACAGAAAAAAAATTAGCCAGGCATTTGTAGTCCCAGCTACTCAGGAGGCTGAGGTGGGAGGATTGCTTGAGCCTGGGAGGTCAAGGCTGCAGTGAGCCATGATCATGCCAATGTACTCTATTCTGGGTGACAGACTGAGACCCTGGCTCAAAAGTAAGTAAATAAATGAAGGGGGCACAGTGGCTCACACCTGTAATCCCAGCACTTTGGGAGGCCGAGGCAGGTGGATTACTCCAGCTGAGAAATTTGAGACCAGCCTGGGCAACATGGTGAAACCTGGTCTCTACAGAAAAAAAAAAACTTCACTGGCCATGGTGGTGTGTGTCCGTGGTCCCA